CCCCCCGCAAATCAGTAAGCTTAACCTTCTAATACCAACCACTTACCTAAATAAGCAATAGTGATCTTTATTTTGTGTGCTGATTTCCTTAAGGCTTCTAGACTCTGGTATATTTCAAATGACATAATGTATACATGTTTTTGTTTTGCCAACAATAAAGACATTTTGTTGTTTTATGTAACAAGAAATCTGAAGGTAGATTGTTCTAGGTTTGGTGTAGCAGCTCAACCCACCAAAATGGGTTAATGTATATCCATTGTTAATATGTATATGACATAAAAATAACCACTTTAAAAAAATTGATTATTTTGTTGTTAGTGTTAAGAATATACACAGCAAAACATACTGCAATTGAACAATTTCTATTTGTACCTTTTAATGACATGGATTACATACAGTCTGTGAGTTGTTCTTCCCTCATTAACATAAATTCACTGCCCTCTCAGGTTCCTGTCTAATCTTTCAAGTTATTGTTGTCAGTTTGATCCCACATAGATAGTTCTTATGAGAGCATAATGCTTAAGGCAGACTTTATTTTAGCTGGTTAAGGAAAATTATTGTTTGGTTTCAAGAAGACTTTAGGGGACATTTTTGGTTTCAGTTTTAAAGATTATTTCTGAACAATAGTTTCAGGGGTTCATAAATTTTCATGGTTCCTCGAAGTCTGCAGTCCGTTAGAATTTGAAATTCTCTTCTGCATGTCTACCTTTTGATCAGGAATCTTCTGTAGAATCTTTGATGAAAATGCTCAGTAAGAGTAGTAGGGCACCATGTAGTTCTTCTGGTCTCATGGCAAAGGAGGCAATTGTTCATTTAGGCAATTAACCTGCATACAGTTTCTTTGAAAATGTTCAGTGACATGATTGATCACAGTGCCACTACAGAATATGAAGCAAATCAAATATACCCAGTTGAAGTAAGAGTGGAAATCTGGGTCATTGGAATATTCCTAAGGTAGAGTTCACCTGTCTCAATTCTTAAAGAACTTATACTTTGTTTAAGTCCTGTTTAGAATTTTGATCATGAGAAACAGTAACAAAGAATAATGTAGTTTAATTTTCATAAGGTAGAGATTTTAATTCAGTTCATTTATTATGCATCTACGATGGGACAAAACATTGTTGATATTTGTGCTGCTCATCTTTTTCACTTTTAAATAACATGTTCTTGGTACTTTTGGTATCTACATGTAAAAGGTTTAAAAATACTAATAATATTTTAGTTAATTGAGTAAAAAAATAACTTTTGCTTTTGGAAAAAAATTGGTTAATCTCAGCCTTATTTCATTAAAACATCCAAATATTGGTCTTCTTACTTTCATGGTAAGGAGCCTGGGAGAACAGTGGGTAAGCCCTGGGCTGCTAACTGAAAGGTCAGCAGTTCGAACCTACCAGCTGCTCTGCTCTGCAGGAGAAAGATGTGGCAGTCTACTTCTGTGTTGATTATAGCCTTGGAAACCCTTTGGGGCAGTTCTCCTCTGTCCTGTATATTTGCTATGCATCAAAATTGACTCGATGGTATTGGGTTTTATTCTTATGATCAAAAGTTTGCTAATCTGGAAGAACATACTGTTAAAATATGGAACAGTAAGAAACATGAATGTAGAGAGCCACTGAAAAAGCCTTTTAACTCTTACAAGCACAGTGATTTTATTACTACTGCAGTGAATCAGAAATCACAACAACTAGCCATATTGTTATATTGGGAGAATTTATTTTATAATATAACATAATTCCATTATAACAAACTAAATCATAATAAAAATTTTTCACATACTGAAATGTTGGAGTATTTCAGTGAAAGAGCAGGTGTAGATATAGTCTGTATAGTTTGTTAAATATCAGAATGCAGTTGCAGCCACAAAAACAAGCTATTTCTAGAAATTTGTGAATGAAATTTTGCTTATACTTTGAAGAAATATAGTATTTAGTGTTTTATTTTTTTCAGGAGAAACTTGTGCTTTAATTGAAGGTAATTCCAATTCCTTGGCAGAATTGTGTTCAGCTGCAGTGATAGCCACAAGTAGGCTACAGTTTTTTTTCAAGATATTATCAAGTGGTAAATTTGGATGAAAGAAGTTTTCTTCTATGGAACCATTGGGTTTTGTTTTTTTTGTTTTTTTAAATATTTGTATTTTAAGGGTCTGTTTTAGATTATTCCATATGTAAATTTCATTAAAAAAAGAAAAACATTCAGTTGGACTTGGACTCCATTGTGGCAGCTTTCCTGAGTAATGTGTATTGTCGGTGCTAAGTTAAAGGCCCATCTTAGTTTTATTGTAAATATTCTTGAGCTGAGGACCACTCGGATCAATTCTTGCTC